CTGCTTTGAACTGTGATCCTTTGGATCTTCGCCTCCTGAGTTGCTAGGGTTTACAGGCATGAAGCCACCAGTGCCCTGCGATAGTCATTTTCTATATGTTGCTGTGTTATTGTTTTTGCTTGGATATTTTGCATGATATTTATAAAGGAAGGTTAAGTATATAGCTCAGTTGTAGAGCACTAAAACAAAACAAAATAAGAAGCCAACTCTGTGCCTGTGTGTGCGCGCGTGCTGTGTGTGTTTGGTGGAATATTAGTCTGCAATTTTCTTATGCTTGGCTTTGGTATAAGCTAATTTGGCCTCATAAAAAGTAGTTAAGAAGGTGTTTCTGTTTGGTAAGAATTTATGACAGAATTAAATCTAGTTTTGAAAATTTTATAGCAATTTCATGAGGTTAAGGCCTTTGATGCCTCTACTTTTCTTATTTTGTTTTTTTTTTTTTTTTTTTTTTTTCTTTTTTTATTATATGTGCATACAAGGCTTGGTTCATTTCTCCCCCTGCCCCCACCCCCTCCCTTACACCCACTCCACCCCCTCCCGCTCCCCCCCCTCAATACCCAGCAGAAACTATTTTGCCCTTATCTCTAATTTTGTTGTAGAGAGAGTATAAGCAATAATAGGAAGGAACAAGGGTTTTGCTGGTTGAGATAAGGATAGCTATACAGGGCATTGACTCACATTGATTTCCTGTGCGTGGTGTTACCTTCTAGGTTAATTCTTTTTGATCTAACCTTTTCTCTAGTTCCTGGTCCCCTTTTCCTATTGGCCTCAGTTGCTTTTAAGGTATCTGCTTTAGTTTCTCTGCGTTAAGGGCAACAAATGCTAGCTAGTTTTTTAGGTGTCTTACATATCCTCACCCCTCCCTTGTGTGCTCTCGCTTTTATCATGTGCTCATAGTCCAATCCCCTTGTTGTGTTTGCCCTTGATCTAATGTCCACATATGAGGGAGAACATACGATTTTTGGTCTTTTGGGCCAGGCTAACCTCACTCAGAATGATGTTCTCCAATTCCATCCATTTACCAGCGAATGATAACATTTCGTTCTTCTTCATGGCTGCATAAAATTCCATTGTGTATAGATACCACATTTTCTTAATCCATTCGTCAGTGTGGGCATCTTGGCTGTTTCCATAACTTGGCTATTGTGAATAGTGCCGCAATAAACATGGATGTGCAGGTGCCTCTGGAGTAACAGTCTTTTGGGTATATCCCCAAGAGTGGTATTGCTGGATCAAATGGTAGATCGATGTCAGCTTTTTAAGTAGCCTCCAAATTTTTTTCCAGAGTGGTTGTACTAGTCTACATTCCCACCAACAGTGTAAAGGGTTCCTTTTTCCCCGCATCCTCGCCAACACCTGTTGTTGGTGGTGTTGCTGATGATGGCTATTCTAACAGGGGTGAGGTGGAATCTTAGTGTGGTTTTAATTTGCATTTCCTTTATTGCTAGAGATGGTGAGCATTTTTTCATGTGTTTTCTGGCCATTTGAATTTCTTCTTTTGAGAAAGTTCTGTTTAGTTCACATGCCCATTTCTTTATTGGTTCATTAGTTTTGGGAGAATTTAGTTTTTTAAGTTCCCTGTATATTCTGGTTATCAGTCCTTTGTCTGATGTATATTGGCAAATATTTTCTCCCACTCTGTGGGTGTTCTCTTCAGTTTAGAGACCATTTTTTTGATGAACAGAAGCTTTTTAGTTTTATGAGTCCCATTTATCTATGCTATCTCTTAGTTGCTGTGCTGCTGGGGTTTCATTGAGAAAGTTCTTACCTATACCTACTAACTCCAGAGTATTTCCTACTCTTTCTGTATCAACTTAAGAGTTTGGGTCTGATATTAAGATCCTTGATCCATTTTGAGTTAATCTTGGTATAGGGTGATATACATGGATCTAGTTTCAGTTTTTGCAGACTGCTAACCAGTTTTCCCAGCAGTTTTTTGTTGAAGAGGCTGCTATTTCTCCATCGTATATTTTTAGCTCCTTTGTCAAAGATAAGTTGCTATAGTTGTGTGGCTTCATATCTGGATCCTCTATTCTGTTCCACTGGTCTTCATGTCTGTTTTTGTGCCAGTACCATGCTGTTTTATTGTTATTGCTTTGTAATATAGTTTGAAGTCAGGTATTGTGATACCCTGCATTGTTCTTTTGACTGAGTATTGCCTTGGCTATTCGTGGCCTCTTGTGTTTCCATATAAATTTAACAGTAGATTTTTCAATCTCTTTAATGAATGTCATTGGAATTTTGATGGGAATTGCATTAAACATGTAGATTACTTTGGGGAGTATCGACATTTTTACTATGTTGATTCTACCAATCCATGAGCATGGGAGATCTCTCCACTTTCTATAGTCTTCCTCAATCTCTTTCTTCAGAAGTGTATAGTTTTCCTTGTAGAGGTCTTTCACATCTTTTGTTAGGTTTACACCTAGGTATTTGATTTTTTTTGAGGCTATTGTAAATGGAATTGTTTTCATACATTCTTTTTCCGTTTGCTCATTGTTAGTGTATAGAAATGCTAATGATTTTTCTATGTTGATTTTATATCCTGCTACCTTGCTATAGCTATTGATGATGTCTAGAAGCTTCTGAGTAGAGTTTTTTGGGTCTTTAAGGTATAGGATCATGTCATCTGCAAATAGGGATATTTTGACAGTTTCTTTACCTATTTGTATTCCTTTTATTCCTTCTTCTTGCCTAATTGCTCTGGCTAGGAATTCCAGTACTATGTTGAATAGGAGTGGAGATAGTGGGCATCCTTGTCTGTTCCTGATTTTAGAGGGAATGGTTTTAATTTTTCTCCGATTAAGTATAATGCTGGCTGTAGGTTTGTCATATAGCTTTTATAATGTTGAGGAACTTTCCTTCTATTCCTAGTTTTCTTAGAGCTTTTATCATGAAATGATGTTGGATCTTATCAAAGGCTTTTTCTGCATCTATTGAGATGATCAAGTGGTTTTTGTCTTTGCTTCTGTTAATGTGGTTTATTACGTTTATTGATTTTCGTATGTTGAACCACCCTGCATCCCTGGGATGAAGCCTACCTGGTCGTGGTGAATAATCTTTTTGATGTGTTGCTGAATTCGTTTGCCATTATTTTGTTGAGGATTTTTGCATCAATGTTCATTAAGGAGATTGGCCTATAGTTCTCCTTTTTGGAGGTGTCTTTGCCTGGTTTTGGATAAGTGTGAATACTGGCTTCATAAAATGTGTTTGGCAGTTTTCCTTCCCTTTCTATTTCATGGAACAGTTTAAGGAGGGTTGGTATCAGTTCTTCTTTAAAGGTCTGATAGAATTCAGCAGAGAATCCATCAGGTCCTGGACTTTTCTTTTTGGGGAGACTCTTGATTGCTGCTTCAATTTCATTTTGTGTTATAGGTCTATTCAGGTGATTAATTTCCTCTTGGTTCAGTTTTGGATGATCATATGTATCTAGAAATCTGTCCATTTTTTTAGATTTTCAAATTTATTTGAATATAGGTTCTCAAAGTAGTCTCTGATGATTTCCTGGACTTCCATGGTGTTTGTTGTTATCTCCCCTTTTGCATTCCTGATTCTACTAATTTGGGTTTTTTCTCTCCTCATTTTAGTCAGGTTTGCCAGGGGTCTATCGATCTTGTTTATTTTTTCAAAGAACCAACTTTTTGTTTCATTAATTCTTTGTATGTTTTTTTGGTTTCTATTTCGTTGATTTCAGCTCTTATTTTTATTATTTCTCTCCTTCTATTTGTTTTGGGATTTGCTTGTTCTTGTTTTTCTAGGAGTTTGAGATGTATCATTAGGTCATTGATTTGGGATCTTTCAATCTTTTTAATATATGCACTCATGGCTATAAACTTTCCTCTCAAGACTGCCTTAGCTGTGTCCCATAGGTTCCGGTAGGTGTGTTTTCATTTTCATTGACTTCAGGAACTTTTTAATTTCCTCTTTATTGCATCGATGATCCATTCTTCATTAAGTAATGAGTTATTTAGTTTCCAGCTGTTTGCATGTTTTTTGTCTTTACTTTTGTTGTTGAGTTCTACTTTTACTGCATTGTGGTCAGATAGTATGCACGGTATTATTTCTATTTCTTATATTTGCTGAGGCTTGCTTTGTGCCCTAGGATATGATCTATTTTGGAGAAGGTTCCATGGGCTGCTGAGAAGAATGTATATTGTGTAGAGGTTGGATGAAATGTTCTGTAGACATCTACTAGGTCCACTTGATCTATTGCATATTTTAGATCTTGGATTTCTTTATTGAGTTTTTGTTTGGATTGACCTATCTATGATGATAATGGAGTGTTAAAGTCTCCCACAACCACTGTGTTGGCGTTTATATATGCTTTTAGTCTTTCAGGGTATGTTTGATGAAATTGGGTGCGTTGACATTGGGTGCGTACAGATTGATGATTATTATTTCCTTTTGGTCTATTTCCCCTTTTATTAGTATGGAATGTCCCTTCTTTATCTCGTTTGATCAATGTAGGTTTGAAGTCTACTTTGTCAGAGATAAGTATTGCTACTCCTGCCTGTTTTCGGGGCCATTGGCTTGGTAAATCTTCTTCCAGCCTTTCATCCTAAGCATATGCTTATTTCTGTCGGTGAGATGAGTCTCCTGTAAGCAACAAATTGTTGGATCTTCTTTTTTAATCCATTTTGTCAAACGGTGTCTTTTGATGGGTGAATTAAGTCCATATGACATTAAGTGTTAGTACTGATAGGTATGTGTGATTCCTGCCATTTAGTTTCTTAGTTGTTTGAAGGTTTGATTGTGTGTACCTAACTTGATGTTACTCTCTACTGTCTTGCTTTTTCTTATCCTGTGGTTTGGTGCTGCCTGCCTTTTCATGGTTAAGTTGGGTGTCACTTTCTGTGTGCAGGATCCCTTGAGAATCTTTTGTAATGGTGGCTTTGTGGTCACATATTGTTTTAGTTTCTGCTTATCATGGAAGACTTTTATTGCTCCATCTATTTTGAATTGATAGCTTTGCTGGGTAGAGTATCCTGGGGTTTGAAGTTATTTTCATTCAGTGCCCGGAAGATCTCACCCCACGCTCTTCTTGCTTTTAATGTTTCTGTTGAGAAGTCTGCTGTGATTTTGATGGGTTTACCTTTGTATGTTACTTGTTTTTTCTCTCTTACAGCCTTCAATATTCTTTCCTTAGTTTTCTACTTTTCTTTGTAGGAAATTTTCAATCTCTTTACTTGTTAAAGGTCTGTTTAGATTTTCCTTTCTTTTTGAGTCAGTTTCAGAAGTTTATATCTTTATCTGATATCTGTATCTAATTTGTTGGCATACAGTTGTTCCTATCACTCCTTTACAACTCTTTTAATTTTTGTCTTTTTTTTTCATATGCTGGGGATAGAACCCCTGGGCTTCTAGCACTCTACCACTAAGCTACATCCCAGCCCAGTCTTTTTGTTTTTGCAAGGTTTTTTTCTTCTTATGAATTTTAAGATTAAAAGCTCATTGTCATCATTAAAGATGTATTATTTGTAGTAATGTGGAAGATGTCCTAGCAAAAATATTAGTGAAAAAAAAAGCCACATAGTACAATTACATGGTGTCCTTTGACTCCTCTCCTATTTTTAAAGTTAATTATTTGTTGGTTGAAATAGCCTTTACACCTTGACTAAACGTATTGCCTCATGAAATTCTGTTGACTCCTTAGTATAAAAGAGTAAATTGTGAATTCTAATGTATCTATGAATGTGCATTTGTGCTTTGCTTTGCTGGTAACTAAAATAAGAAGAAACTCAAGTTTGTTTTTTTTTTTTTTTTTGTGAGACTGGAGTTGAACTCAGAGGTTTGTACTTGCAAAGCAGGTGTTCTACTGTTTGAGCCATACCTCTAGTCCATTTTGCTGATTTTGAAGATGGGAGTTTCAAGAACTGCTTGCTTGGGCTGGCCTCAAACCATGATCCTCCTGAGCTCAGCCTCTCAAGTAGCTAGGATTATAAGTGTGAGCCACTGGCAACTGGCCAGAAACTCAACTTCTTATACTTTTCCCAGAAATCTATATAAGAAGAATTTTAAGTAAAGTTGATGATTTACTACTTTTTCTCTGCAACATAACACACCAGTGAATTCTTTGTTATTTTTCCCAGGAAGTAAAAAGGTAGTTTTCTGTCAGTGTTATCTTCATACAGGGAATGTTGACTTTTTTTTTTTTTTTTTTCCAGCTTTAGGGGTTGAACTCAGAGCCTTGTGCTTGCTAGGCAGGCACTCTATCAGTTGAGCCACTCCACCAGCCTTTTTTGCATTGCTGTTTTTTTTTTGTGATAGGGTCTTACTTTATGCCTGGGCTGGCCTCAGCCACAATCCTCCTATTTGTGCTTCCCGGCATAGCTAGGATGACAAGCGCACACTCTTATGCCCAGACATTGGTTGAGATGGAGTCTCGTGAACTTTTTGCCCAGGTTGTCCTTGAACTGCTGTTCTCCCAATTCTGCCGTCTGACTGGCTATCTTTTTGATGTACTGGCATTTCACATTTCCTTATAGAGAAAAGAAGGCCATTTATTTTGAAAAATTTAAAGGATAAGCAACTTGTGCTTCTCTTGCCTCTGGGATTCAGGGAGTGGTAATGATGAGTTGCTTATGACCAAGATTCATGTAGGGAGTATGATAAGAAGTAAAAATTGGGCTATATCTCACCTTTGGGGAAAATTAATTTTAATGTCATTTTCTTAAGACAACTTTTCTTGGTAATGGAAGAAAATAAATTCATGAAGAAAGGTTGAAGTGAATACATGAAGAAAAATAAATTTACATCAATTAAGTTGTGTAATAATTTTTTATTTTCCATTGAATTAAGTCTTTCACAGCTGATGATGTGTTTAACTCTATCCATGTTCTTTATCATTTTATTTTGAAGCTAATCGTAGCTGTTGAACAAGAAGAAATCCCCAGACTTAAGGCCCTATATGAGAGAGGCCTACAAAATGGTGTTCAAGGCTTGAGGCTGATCCAGCAGGAGGATATAAGAAAGAAGGAGCCATATTGCAGGGTGAGTGATTTGCCACTTGTGCACATGGTCAAAAGGATATTTTCATTTAGGGCTCAGTCCTGCCACATGAAGGCTGAGGGTGAATTTATAGGAGACAGGAATCATAAAATCAGTTAGGTGATCCTGTCACAATAGCAGGGAAGGGCATTGCCACGAACTCTGGACAACTGATTTCTTCTTTCCCTGTGATAAAATAATAGGTCTGACCAACCTATACAAAGGCAACAGAGTCTGGGTCTACATGGCATGTTTGATAAATGCTGAACAGTGAGGTATGGTTAGAGTGTAGGGTGTGTGGAGAGAGATAAGAGATAAGGCTGGGAAGGTAGGATTAGGCCCAAATGAAAGAGCTGGCATTCATACTAATAATTTTGAAGTTATTCCAGTTGGCATGGAGAATAACTGAGTATTTTTGAGCAGAGTAGTGACAGTGCTCTCTACTTTAGAAAGATATACTTGGTGTCAATGTGAAGGGCAAGTTGTAGAGTATCTCGCTTGAAATACACTATGGGGGAAAACAATCTTTAGTCTTGAAAGAAATGTGAATAATAATATAATCGTCACTCTACCTTTCCAGTATAACCTTGCCAGTATAACTTTTCCAGTTACACTTTTTAGTTCAAGCCTCAGTTTCACTGGCTGTTCCAATAAATGGCTGTATCTCCTGTTACTCTCTCCCATCATTTTATTAATACCATACCAGAGTTGGACTCTAGGCACCTGTCTTAGAGAGTGTGACCTTAAGATCACTGTCAGGTAGTGCTACTGCCAAAACAAACAAATAAACAAAACCCTAGTAGTTACGGGAGGTAGCCTGAAGGATATGTGGAGCACTTAGTATTCCTGTACAACTATCAGAGTGGCACTGCAGTCCCTTCCCCCTGCTACTACTTAACCCCAGTTACTTCCTTTGAATTGTGCTTTGGTTTTTATGGCATCAGCTTATGGAGAAGGTCATTGTGTCATTCACTGTGGCCTTTATTATAAGGATGTGGTTGAGGACATACGTCGTTCCCTCTGTTACACAACATCTTTTTGTGAGAACCCTTAGAAGATACTTCTGTCAGATCTTAGTTATGGGAATAGTTTTGTTGTTTCTGAGTTCAGTTGGTTTGTTTTTATTTTATGGGCACTGAATAATTTAACTGATTGCATTGTTCTGTTGCATTTGAGACACACTTGTGCCCCATCTTGCCAAGTATGTAGGGCCTTAAGAATACATTTTTATTTTTATATACTAACTCTCCTCTTCATTTTTCTTCCCTGATTTTCTGTCTGCTCTAATGTTTTGGAATCTTAGCATACAACAAATCATAAGTGTTCAGCATATTGAATTTTTACAAAGTGTGACCTGCATCCAGATAAAAACAAAACAGAAAAAAACAGAACATTTCCAGTCTCCCAGTATTCCCCTCATGCCCTCTACTAGTACATTTCTCTTAGTGGTAACTATCCAACTTCTTGCATTGTAGGTTATTGAATTTTATGTATATAGAATCATATGGTATGATTTGTGTTGGGGCTTCTTGTATTCATTATTGTCTGTGAAGTTTATTCATATTGTTGCATGTAGTTGTAGCTTGGTTGTTACCATTGCTGCATGTTCTTTGCTGTGCATTGTGTGAACACAGCATGGTTTGTTCTACTGTTAATGGAAATTTGTGTATCTTATAATTTTTTTTACTTTTTATTTTTTTATTATTTCTTTGTGCATACAATGCTTGGGTCATTTTCCCCCCCCGCCCCCACTCCCTCCCTTACCACCCACCTTGCCCCCTCCCCCACACCCCCTCGATACCCGGCAGAAACTATTTTGCCCTTATCTCTAATTTTGTTGAAGAGAGAGTATAAGCAATAATAGGAAGGAACAAGGGTTTTTGCTAGTTGAGATAAGGATAGCTATACAGGGAGTTCACTCACATTAATTTCCTGTGCATGTGTGTTACTTTCTAGGTTAATTCTTTTTGATTTAACCTTTTCTCTAGTTCCTGGTCCTCTTCTCCTATTGGCCTCAGTTGCTTTTAAGGTATCTGCTTTAGTTTCTCTGCATTGAGAGCAACAAATGCTAGCTAATTTTTTAGGTGTCTTACCTATCCTCATATCTCCCTTGTGTGCTCTCACTTTATCATGTGATCAAAGTCCAATCCCCTTGTTGTGTTTGCCCTTGATCTAATGTCTGCATATGAGGGAGAACATATGATTTTTGGTCCTTTGGGCCAGGCTGATCTCACTCAGAATGATGTTCTCCAATTCCATCCATTTACCAGCGAATGATAACATTTTGTTCTTCTTCATGGCTGCATAAAATTCCATTGTGTATAGATACCACATTTTCTTGATCCATTCGTCAGTAGTGGGACATCTTGGCTGTTTCCATAACTTGAGTGTAGCTTATAATTTTGAGCTATTCCATGATTTCTTTTTTTCATGGCACTGGATTTGAATTTAGGGCCTCACACTTGCTAGGCAGGTGCTGTACTGCTTGAAGCACTCCGCCAACCCTTGGAGCTGTTCCAAATAGTGCTGCTATGAACAGTCTAGTGTGAATATTTTGGTGAATACATGTTCATATTCTGAGGAGAGAAATTGTTAGGTTGCAGTTTATGCATATGTTTGGCTTTGGCAGGTACTGCCAAGACAGTTGTCCCAATTTATATTCTCATCAGTAGTGTTGATGAGTTCCAGTTGCTCCATATCTTTACTAACACTGGTATTTATTGTGTTCATTTTAGCCATTCTAGTGGGCATGTGGTACAGGCTGTGTCCCTTATTCAAAATGTTTAGAACCAAAAGCTTTTCAGGTTTCAGAGTTTTTCACATTTTAGAATATTTGCACAGACTTTACCAGTTGAGCATCCCTAATTCAAAAAATACGAAATCTGAAATGCCCCAAAATCTCTGAAGCTTTTTGAGTATCATGTCAGCACTCAAAAAGTTTCAGATTTTGAAGCATTTCAGATTTTGGACTGTGGATTAGGAATGCTCAATCTTTAGTATTATGCTATGGGTTTTTTTTGTTGTTGTTGTTGTTTGTGGGTCTGGGGTTTGATCTCAGGGCTTTGTGCTTGCAAAGCAAGTTCTCTACTGCTGGAGCCACACCTCTAGTCTATTTTGCCGTTTCGCTCTGGTTATTTTGAAGGTAGGGTTCATGAACTGTTTTTCTGGGTTGGCCTCAAACCGTGATCCTCCTGATCTCTGCCTCACAAATAGCTAGGATTACAGGGATTAGCCACTGATATCCACATATTATGGTTTTAATTTATATTTTCCTAATGACTCAAATTTATATACCCTTTCATATGTTTATTTGGCCACTAGAATATTTTTCTTTCTGAAGTACCTATTTGAGTTCTTTGCCCATTTTTCTATTGGTCTACCATTTTCTTCTAACAATTTTTATTAGTTTTAGAAGTTCATTATATAGTATGTATATGAGTGCTGTATGATATACATATATATTTGTGATATATATGTATATCTAAATGTATGTTGCAGATATCTTTTACCTTTCTATAGCTTATCTTTTCACTTTAATAGTATCTTCAGATGAACAGAGATTCTTAATGTAATCAATTTAGCAATTTATTCATAAATTTTTATGTTTAGTGTTTTTTGGTGTCTGTTTGAGAAATCCACCTAACTGAAGGCCTGGCGAATATTCTATGTGTTTTTTTAAGTTTTCTTGTTTTACCTTTCATGTCCATTTGGAATTGGTTTTTATATATGGTATGCAATATAGGTCAAGGTATATTTTCATACCCCATGTGAATATCCATTTGACCTAACACCATTGTATCATTTCCCCCACCACACTGCAGTATTCCTTTGGGATAACAGGTGAATGTATGTGAGTGGATCTATGTCTCTACTCTAATTAAAGTCCCATTATCTCTTCTTACACTACCACTGTGATGTCTTAGTTACAGTTTTCCAGTGAAAAAGGGCTCTGATGAGCTGAGCAGAGGAGGTTGGCTTTCTAGGCAGGAAAGGGCTGAGGAAAGCGGAGACAGAATGAAAAGCTGATTGGTTGTTTCAAAGTTACCTTCCTTATAAGATTAGAATAGAGGAAACTTCCTTATCATGCTGGCTAAAACTGACCTGTTCGGAGATTTGGCTATTGTCCCTGTCCTGATTTCTTGGAAGGTCAGATAAGCAATTTAATTTGGTGACATAGAACTTTAGCATGAGTAACTCCAAAATGGTAGAGTGCCTGTTGGTGCTTGGGGTACCAGAGCTCAGTCTAAAACAAAACAATGGCCTCCTATACATTTTATTGAAACTGAACTTAAAACTTAGTGTTTTGAGGCTTTGTGTGATTCTGATGGAGTTTAGTTGTGAAACTAAGATGTTAGAGTCTCATTGACATGTTCTTATCAAGTGTTACCCTTTGAGAATAAAACAATTTATAACCTTCAGAAAGGCATGCCAGTTTTAGCATGTTTTAAATTTTTTATTTGGTAATGAAAAGCTCTTTAAAGATTGGTGTCAAAAAGGGAAAGAACATCTGAGCTGATATCACTGTAGATTTGGTCATGAAGTTAAAAAAAATAGAACTACTGGTTTCCTTGTGGTACTAAAATTTGGAGAATTTGGAAGATTCTATCTGATTATTGTCTGTTGTGTCCTTGTAAAGAGTTTTAAAGATTGAAAAAGAAACAGGAACCCATGATTCTTTATATCAGGCTTTACTGTTTAAAAACATCAAAACTTCTCACATGTTGTAATGGCTAAGCACATTTTTATCCCTATATATGTTGTTCCTTGCACCTGACATGTGATCCTCCTAAGTCGTTGAAATGAGGGAGATAAGTATGTGTACACAGATAAAACAATTACCAATATGCATATTATTTGTCTATAAATGAGGAAACTGTTTCTCAGGGTCACGCAGTTCCTAAGGAGTGCTCTGCCCAAGAACTGACTCAGTTCTTTTCTGTTTGGTTCGTCCAAAATTTTCTTGTTTACTAAGTGCCAAACACTATAGTTAGGTATTGCAGGTATGAATATGGGTAAAGCATGGCTGTTGACCTGAAGAAAGTTGTAGTGTAGCAGAAGATGGGTTTTTTTTGTGTTGTTTTTGTTTTGGTATTGGGGTTTGAACTCAGGGCCTCACGCTTGCTAAGCAAGCGCTCTACTACTTGCGCCCCTCCTCCAGTCCAAAGGTAATGTTTTGGCATAACATGTAAGCATTCTGAAAGAGCCAATGCTCTTGACTTGTGCCACAGTTAAGGCAGTGCTTTTAGTTTTGTCCAAGGTTTTAAAAAGGTCTTCTCAAAGATGAACCCTACTTGAAGATGAATGAGTAGTTTAACTTATAAAAGAGTTAGATTCTGCTTCTGTCTGAGGCCTCTGCAGAAGTGATATACCTTACGCAAGGCCAGTTTGGGATTATTAAGGGGTGGCAATAAATAGAGGAAAATATAGTCTGATTATTTCATAAGAGTAAGTTCCACCAGATATGGTGACTCATGTCTGTAATTCCATCTCCTCTGAAGGTAAAGATTAGGAGGATCATGGTTTGAGGCCAGCCCAGGCAAAAAGTTAGTGAGGTCCTGTCTCCACCAATAAAGCCAGATGTGGAGGTATACACCTATCATCCCAGGTATACAGGAGGCATAAATAGGAGAGTCACAGCCCATGCCAAAAAAAAAAAGACACTACTTGAATAATAACCAAGGCAGAGGGTTGGTCGGGGGCTGGAGGGAGAGGTGGCCCAAACAATGTATACATATATAAATAAATATAAAAATAATAAAAAAAGAAAAAGAACCAAGGCAAAAAAGGGCTGGAAGCATGGCTCAAGTGGTAAAGTGCCTGCCTAGCAATTGTGGGGCTCTGGGTTCAAACTCTAGTATTGCCAAAAAAATTAAAAAGTTCCTCTCCTTTCCCCTAATCTCACCACGACTACTGAGAATGTTGGGCAAAATTTCCCAGTACAGGGTCCCATCTGTTTCTCTTCGGCCTTTCAGAAAGATAAAGTTTATCAGGATAATCCCTCTCTTCCCCCAGTACTGAGGGTTGAGCCCAGGGCCTGTGCATGCTGTCAAGCGCTTTACCTTTTGAGCCATGCCCCCAAGCCCTCTTATTGTATTTTATTTCTGATAGGGTGTTTCTAACTTTTGGCCAGGTTGGCCTTAAACTTACAATCCTCCTACCTCTGCCTCCTGAGTAGCTGGGATTTCAAGTAGGGGATATCTTTTTTTTTTTTCTTGGTATAGGGGCTTAAACTCAGGTCCTTCACCTTGAGCCACTCCACTAACCCTATTTTTTTAAGGGTTTTCGAGATAGGGTCTCACAGAACTTCAAACTGTGATCTTCCTGATCTCTGCCTCATGAGTAGGTAGGATTACAGGCCTGAGCCACCAGCACCCAGCAGAAGATAACTCTTGACAGCTCCCTGTGTGGGCAGATCCTCACTGTTACCTCTGATCTCAGCTCTGCTGTTCCTTCTGCCTTTTAACATTGTTCCTCTGTCTCCTGACTGAGTTCTCCCAATTTTTCCAGTGCCACTTTCTTGGTTTTGTTCTAGCAACCTGACCTGTGGCTACAGATTTCAAGTTGAAACGTGGTGACCTGGACAGTACATGCCCAGCCTCCCACTGATGAATACAGCCAGCCTGTCCACCAGCCCCATCTCAGCTTTGCTGACCGTGCCCTGCAGCCAGTCCTAAACGAGGCATTGGTTTGCTTCACAGTGGTGGCTTACTCCACCTTCCCTTAATATGGAGCATTCTAACACCTCACAAGAAGGAGAAAGCCAAGACTAGAAACAGAAAGAAGAGAAGGAGACCTGTTAGGGGAGTGCTGGAGGGGTGGAAATCTAGCATTTTTTGTTTGTTTTCTAGGTGGTACTAGGGTTTGAACTCAGGGCCTCAGGCTTTAGGCAGAGACTCTACCACTTAAGCCACTCCGTCACCAGAAACCCAGTATGCTTAATAATAGCCTTCAAAAGTTTATTTATTCAGTAAATATTTGAGTGACTTATGTGTGTCAGGTATTGTGCAGGGTAATAGGAGTATAAAATAAAGAGGATATTTGGGATTCTAAAAAACTATTGATTCATAATGAAACACTTAACAGCACATATGTAGCTCTCTGTTATACTTGTAACAGTTTTATGCTAAGTAAAGAAGTTTTTGTGGATTAAACTCTTGATATCCTACACTAACTTCCAAAGTTATTGCACCCAAATATTACCTGTAGGTTAAAGTTGAGTTCCAGTTATTGACCTATAAATTAGAGATTGTTGGGCAGTAAGCAGGACTAATGTAGTCTTACATTTAACAACTGCACCAAAACAGAAGGAATGATTACCTGTTTATAGCAAATGCTCTTATATTCTGGAAACAAGACTGTTGGGATAACAGTGAAGTTTTTCCAAACGTTGCTTTCAGTTTTTGAAGAAGAGACTGGTGTTTTGTGAGCCTTTAACCTTAACAGCATCTGACCATCTGGAAACATTAGTGGAGGGGGGAGTTGCAAAGTCAAAGGCTTTTAAGGGTCAAGCAAGTATGTGTTAGGATAGGGATGGGTGGTGAATACAACAGTGAAATATTTAAAATAATATTATTTGAGATACTGTTTTAAAATTGCAACAATGACAGTACTGAACTGGTTACCCTCTTAAGAGAAATTGAGAGCACTGACTTACTCATATACACAGTAGGCAATAGAAAATGGTGCTATCACCAAAATGTAGTCAGTACTCAGTGTGTGAAATTCTGCTCTTACCTTTTTCTTCAGAATCAGAAAAGGCCAATGGCACATTCAGCATTCATTCCAAAAAATAAAATAAGCAAGGGTTTAGGTCATCTACAGTTTAATTACGTCTTCAGTGACAGAAACAAGCACAAAAAAACAGGCTGTTCATTTTTCATATTACCTGAAGAGAAAGTTTGAATTCATCTATAAAATCTCCATTCTGTATTTAGAGTCTTGAAGTTAGGGTCTGCAGCAAATCAGTGAGTAGCTAGCTAGTACAACTGAGTTCTCAGTGAGTATGTCTGAAGTGGTAAGGGCTGAATAAAACTGGAAAACCCATAGCTGCTGGAAAAGCAAAATTAACTCCTAAGGAGAAAAATTGGTTTGTGATTATAGAGAGGGGTGTGTATATGTATATATAAATATATATAATTTTATTATATAAAACAGATTGTGTATTAATATATGCATTATATGTACATAATATATGCGTATATTATATTCAAGCACTTTATGGAGCTAACTTTTATGTTTCTTTTTCTTTAAGACAATCAGATTTTTGTCAAGCAAAAATGTGTGTTACCTATCAAAATAAACAAGTAACCTATTATACACTAATAAAAACATTTAAAAAATAAGTAAAAACAAGTAAAAACAGCTAAAGTAAAATTCTGAAGAAACCTCATTGTTTTTTAATTATGTCATTTGACTTTTTTGTAATTCTGTCCTAGGGTCTATTGGCCATTGATTGTCCATATACTGGCATTGTGGACTATCGGCAGGTAGCGTTGTCATTTGCCCAGGATTTCCAAGAAGCAGGTGGCTCTGTTTTGACTGATTTTGAAGTAAAAGATATTAAAATGGCTGACGGAAGTAAAAATGGTAAGCCATCCTTGTGTTTTCTGTTGAATACTTGTACTGATTTAAAAGACAAACTTGGGTTAGTTTTGTCTGGTATAGTGCTGGTAGGAGGGCTATCAGGAGAGTAGGGCACAGAGCTAGAGGTGGGTGCAAAAGGACAAGAGTGAGATTGGATGTAGGAAAACCAGAATCCCTAGGAGATCTTGTGCCAGTAGAATGAGGCACTGATTAAACAATCTGACTGGTGCTAATATCTGAACTGCCAAGCACTGTGTGGAGAGTAAGCCCCAAACTCTTCCCTATTGTGTATGTTAGAGTCAGAATTTCTTGGCAATGCTTGTTAAAAGTACAGATTTTAGCATCCTCTAGATTTACTGAATCAGGTTGTCTCATGCCAGGGCTTAGGAATAGCAAGCAGTTAGTGCTTCTTTTTTCCTTTTTTCTTTTTTTTTTTTTGGTAGGACTGGGGTGTCATCTCAGGGCTTTGGACTTGCAAAGCAGGCACTTTGCTGCTTAAGCCAAACCACCAGTCCATTTTACTCTGGTTATTTTGGAGATGGGGTCTCAATGAACTGTTTGCCTGGACTGGCCTCAAACTACAATCCTCCAGATCTCAACCTCCCAAATTTCTAGGTTTACAGGTGTGAGCCACCAGTGCTCAGCAGTTAGTGATTCTTGGACACATCCAAATTTCAGAATGACAGCATAAGGTCATGAAAAGACTTGTCTATTCTAAGCCTCTCCTCCCCCATTTCATTTTAGACTTTTTTGAGTTTGTTTTTCTCTGATGACATTATTTTAGCCAAGTGAAAGATTTGTAAGTCTGTTTATTGCAGTGAAATTTGAGGGAGTAAAAAAGTTCTTTGACAGGTTGTAAAGGAAATCTAGGTTATATGATTTAGTCTTCTGTGTCCTTCTAAAATCTAAAATGATGAACAGAATTTAATGAAATTGTGAAATATGATTGTTATATAGGTATCATTATAAATCAAATTAATGACACTGTTACATTGCATTCTGTTTTTGCTGTACATATATTTTCTAAGACTATAATTCATGTAAATGATTTGGAACTAATTTATAAATGGTCAAATTATTACTGGAATTGTTTGTGTTATGACAACTCTTATTTCTCTAAACAACCCAGACTCTGCAAGGAATTAGATAACCAGCACTAGAACACCCAAGTTTCTTCTGTTATAGCTTTACTTCTGTGGGAAAATTCCATCTGATTTATACGGATCCATTGTGCAGCATGATTCCCAGGATTGTAGTTCATGAAAAGTTGGAACCATCTGCATTGGAGCTGAGCTGATTTATAAGTATAAATTAAATGAATTAAAATAAAACAAGCTTAAAAGAACATGCTGGTTTTGTATATTGTCAAGTATGAACTAGTTTAATCTTTTACTTGGCAAAAAGCTTCAGAATGAAAAGTATGGTGCAATTATGGTAGAAGAAAGTCAATTGAATTTGTTACTTGTATATTTCAAATAATGGTGGTATTGTTTTGCTAAAAAAATCTTACTTTTTTTTCTTAGGGATGAAGTATCCAATTGTTATAAAGAATACAAAGGTAAAGATTCTTAACTAAAACTTAGCCACTTTCATCCCCTTCTCTTTCTTAACAAGTTGAATTAAACCACAGTGCTATATTTTAAATCATTGAATGAAATTTGTCTAATGTAATTCTGAGAAGAGGTTTATTTGTGGGTTTTTTATGTTTTTTGTTTGTTTGCTTTTGGAGACAGAGTCTCACTACATGGCCTGGAACTCATGATCCTTGTGCCTCAGTCTCATGAGTATTGGGATTATCGGTGTGCACCACCATGCCTCACTCGAGAAATTTAATAGTCTTCATTCTAACAAGGGTTTTAACTTTGGAATCTCTTCATGAAGTGATTGCTCTGATAAAGAATAGGATTATAAGCATGTGGAGTATTTAAGTCAAAACTGATAGATATTTTATCACTCTGCTGACTGAAGTACATTCATTTACTGACTCCTTACTAATTAAAAAACTTTAGGATGGATGCATAGGTCATGCAAGGGTAGACGGATTTCTTTCTTTATCTTCACAGTCTACAGCAAGAACCACTGGATGGTATAGACTATTCCCTGTGTCTTCAAGGGTCGGTGAGAGTAGTAGTCACACATGAATGTTACAGGATTTATTGTAGGAATTAGGCCTTACACCATTGTGAGAGGATCTAGGAAAGCAGAGGTTCAGAAGGAAGTTGGTAGATCAGGCTGAGAACCTAGGTGTCCAGCTGCTGAAGTGGGACTGCAATTGGGCAGTTTCTGAGGAGATCTGCGGGGAGCTCTTGATTCTGTCTATACCCAAGTAGTGGGCTGGGACAGCTCTTGATTAGCAAGATCAGAAGTGGGAAACAAGATGGGCACCAGTGGCTCATGCCTGTAATCCCATCTACTTGGGAGGCTGAGATTGGGAGAATCGGGGTACAAGGCCAGCCTGGGCAAATAGTTCATGAGACCCTATCTCCAAAATACCCAGAGCAAAATAGACTGGAGGTGTGGCTCAAGAGGTAGAGTGCCTGCTTTGCAAGCACAAAGCCCTAAATTCAAAGCCCAGTCCCGCAAAACAAACAAACAAACAAACAAAAAACAAGTTGGGAAATAGTTCTGAACACAGAGCTGCGTTCATTAGGGAGTGGGTGTCTGTTCATTACCACAGTGTAGGAAACCATCAAAAAAGTGATTGTGGCTTTACCTCTGCCTGTCAGGTCATAGGCAGTTAGAGTGTTGGTCAACTTTAAGTTGGAAACATACAGAGGAGAGGAGTCTATCAAGCATAGTCTCCAGCTTAACTAAATAGATACAGTACAACCCCCCACCAGTCTTCCCCTTGTCAACTTGGCATCCATATATACCTCTTATGATCATTTTTATTTATTAATTGTTATTTATTTTTGAGATAGGGTTTCACTTTGTAGGCCAGGCTGGCCTTGAACTCACAATCCTGCTGTCTCAGCCTCTAAGTTCTTGGATCACAGGCGTATAACACCATGCCAGTCCTTCTAACCATATTTAGCTTTCAAATAAAGACAATAGTAAAATTAATGCTTTTACCTAACAAGATGTAACTATCACCCATACAACAATATTCATCCTGAATCACACTCTTCAGTTGAGATCCTTAATTTAAATACTGAGATATAAAGCTAACCACTATTGAAATATCTTAGATTAGAAGATTGGAAGTGATTTTGCTCGCAGGAGACATTTAACAATGTCTGGAGACATTTTTGGCTGTCACACTGTGGAAGTGGGAGCACAGCTGCTGGATTTAGTGAGTAGAAGTCAGGGATGCTGCTGAACACCCTTCCATGTAGGGAACAGGCCTCCAAAGCAAACAAGCGTACAGCTCCAAATAGTAATGGTACTGAGATCGAGAAACCATGTGTTCTATAGTGAGGAAGTGTTAAAGATGGGTGTATTAAGTCAAAAATACCACAAAATGGGTGGCCCGAACAATAAAAATTCACTTTCTCACACTCCTAGAATCTACAAGTCCAAGGTCAAGTTGCTGTCATGGTTATTTTCTGGTGAGACCTCTCGCTTCCTGGTTTGTAAATGGCCACTTTCTCATTGTGTTTTCATATGGCCCCTTTTTGTGATCTTTGGTATGACTTCCTCTTCTTATAAGGACTCCAGTCCCATTGGATTGGTGTCCTTATTTACCCCCTAATATCCCTTTCTACAAATATAATCACATTGGGGTTAGAGCTTCAAAATATGAATTTTGGGGAAACACAAGCTTACAACAATGAGGATAAAGAAAGAATTGGGTATTATATAAACAAATATATTTATTTCAAAATATGGGAGAAATACTCATAGCTATGACATTCCTTATTTCTGTGACTGGTCATGTGATCATAGCTGATATTTATCATTTGCTTCATCCACTGCCCATTTCCATATTGTCTGTACCTTTGGCAAGCATCTTCACTGGTTATGGTTCCTAGTTTGGTGGGGTAGTGCAAGCTTTTCATCCCTGAAGTGTCTGTGCCATTAGCAGCCCGTTTTGGGCTGTGATTGTTTCCAGTAGCTTCTAGTGCAATACATGGGGATACTTAGAGATGCCTCAGAATGTGTTTATTCCAGACACACTCCTCTTTTTCACCCCCAACCCCTATGTGTGACAGGACTCCATTACTCCTTGAGAGTCGGGATTAATTATCTCATTCAGAACAGCAGTCCTTCTTTGCCTATTGATTTACTGGCATGAAGAACCCAGGGTGACCAAAGTGGCAGAACACCTTCTAGCTTAATGGAACCATTGTTTATATGTTTAATGGAAGTTTCTCTCCCTTGGAAACTAAGAGCTCTAGATCATCCAAGTCCAAAGCTGTATGCAAAAATTTCACTAGTGGATCACTGGGATAATAGTAAGGAGCTACTCCCATTTCTGTCTCTTGATTTCTGATCTTTGAAACAATGCCATATTTTAGTCACTGAACTAGAGCACATAGAGCATCCTGGAAGAATTGCTCCAACCCTGCCAGGTGTTGCTGTTACTGAATCTTCAAAAGCCATTTCACTTTCTGTTACCCAGTGGCTTCAGGATGATGGGGAAAATGGCAAAAAAATCAGTGAATTCCATGAGCAAGGGCTGATTGCTGCACTTCATTTACTGCATGATAAGTTCACTAATTAGAAGTAATGTTTGTATGTAAATACCATGTTGGTGAGTGAGGCATTCTGTAAATCCATAGATGTTGGTTTCAGCAGAAGTATCATGGGTAGGGAAGAAAAATCTATATTCAAAGCAATTGTCCATTGTGGTGAGAACTAAATTCTGCCTTTTGTATGTTGAAAGTGGTTCAGGGACCATATCAGTGGCTATGTTAGTCTCTATTGGCAAATTGAGCACTCTGCAATGACTATAGACAGATCATCCTTGGTGAATAAATACATGTTACTGGGCCCATGCATCACCTCTTTTCTTGCTGCCGTAGATATTTTTCCCAGTTTTATTGAGCTATAATTAACAAATAGAATTGTATACCTTTAAAATGTACCAGGTGATGATTTGATACATATTTGCACTGTATCAAGTTAATTAGCACATCAGTCACTTTACAAAGTTACCATTTGTTTGTATGTGATGAGAATACTAAAGATCTGCTCTTAGCAAATTTCAAGTATGTCATATAACATTAACTATATTCACTATGCTGTGCATTGCATCCCCAGAATTTATCTTCTAAGTGACAGTTTGTACCTTTTGGCCAAGATCTCCCCATTCCCAACTATCTCCTATCCCTACTCCCTAATTCCCTACCATTCTTCTCACTCTCTGTTTCTATGAATTCAACCTTTTTTTTTTTTTAATGACTTGTTCTGTAGTCTCAAACTCATAATCCTCCTACCTCAGCCTCCCAAGAGCTGGGATTTTTGTAGGCATTTGCTACCACACTCAGCTTGAATTCAACCTTTGTAGATTCACCATATAAGTGTATCTCATAGTATTTGTCTTTTGCTGTCTGGCTTATTTTCACTTAACGCAATACCTTCCAGATTTATCCATGTCACAACTGGAAGAATTTTCTTTTTTTATCCATTTATCTCTTAATGGACATTTAGATTTTGTTTCCCTGTCTAGGCTGTTGTGCATAGTGCTGTAATAAACATAGGAGTGCAGACATCTCTTTGACATACTGATTTCATTTTGTTTGGGTATATATCCAGAAGCAGAATTGCTGAATATGGTAGTTCTATTTCTAATTTTTTTAGAAATTTCTGTGCTGTTTTCCAAGATGGCTGTACCAATTTTTTACATTCCCATCAAGAGTGCAACTTATATTTTTGTTAATATTTGTTATCTTTTGCCTTTTATCAAAAAGATATTAAATAGCCATCCTACCAGAAATGAGGTAATACCTCACTGTGGTTTTGATTTCCATTTCCCTGATGTTTAGTGATGTTGTGCACTTTTTCTTATACTTATTGGCTACTTGTTTGTCTCTTTGAAAAGGTATCTACTCAGGTCCTTTGCCCATTTTAAAAATTGGAACATTTGCTTTTTAGCTGTTCAGTTGCTTAAGTTCCTTATATATTTTGGTTATTAACCCCTTATCAGATATGGTTTGTAAATATTTCCTCCCGTTCTATAGGTTGTCTTTTTGTTCAGAGTGTTAATTATTTCCTTTTCTGTGCAGAAGCTTTTTAGTTTGATGTAGTTCTACTTGCTTGTTTTTGTTTTTGTTGTCTTGTGTTTTTAGTGCCCTGTCCAAAAAAATCATTGCCAAGGCTAGTATGAAGGAGCCTCTGCCTATGTTTTCTTCCAGATTTAGGTCTTATGTTAAAATCTTTAATAGATTTCAAGTTAATTTTTGTGAATGGTATAGGGTCCAATTTCATCCTTTTGCATTTGTATATCTACTTTTCCCAGCATCATTTATTAAAGAGACTATCCATTCTGTTCATGAAGCCATTGAGTAAGGACAGGGGTGCCTGAAGAAAGAGGCTAACTCACATCCAAAGAGCAGATCATCTTGCCTACTGATTCTTAAAATCTTCCTTCACTTAGTGAACATTCATGTTGAACTC